GGCGCATTGCAAAAATCATTTAAGTGCAAAATTGCGCTTTAAGAAAACAACATGAAGCGTGCCAACATTGTACCCCACATGTGCCTAAGTATCATCCCGTTTCACCTCTGTCTTTGAAAATGATTGACTGCCAATTTTGAACAAATTTTCATTTGCGTGGGAGGCACAAAATCAACCTACTCGACGCCATTTTGCTACGATATTCGCCCATTCCCCTACTATTCCAGAATGATCCCATGGGTGTGTTTGAAACAAAAACTACGCAGTTAAGCGCGACACAGTTCAACGTAACCCTCAAAAAAGAATAAAGTCTGATTAAGCTAAAAGCATTTCCGCGCCCTAAAGAATCACGTCATCCTGCAAAACCGAGCTTTTGTATATATTATTAATTACTTCTACTTTGTCGTGGTGAGCTTACTTGGCAAGCTGTCTGAGGACATGCAAGCTGTTTCTCATCATGAAATCACGAACTACTTTTAGTTTTCCATTACTTAGACCTCTCACACGTTAATTTCGCAGCGATTCTTACCGATTTCAGTTAGTATAATAGAAGTAGCCTAAAAGAGTTTGGTAAGAATACAAGATACATTTCGGCGTCTTGCCGACTATCTATGTGGCCTGATTTTACTATTGATCCGCGGGATCTAAAATCTGGATCCGGATCATAATAGACCAATGTATGTATTTGTAGTAGGTTAGGTTAGGTTTCTTGTGAATGCATCAATAACGATCCTCCACTGCGACTCTTTGGTCTATTGTGGCTCACACATATTTATATTTCCCCTAGTAGCTCCGACCTCCTGAGGAAGTCGATCAACTTGTTTGGAGAAATATCCTTCAGGTCTTCAGCTTGGAGTACTGCATCTCTAAGTATGTTGTACCTGATTCTGGTAATTGCAGGGCATCTGCACAATACATGCCGTCATGCCCAGCCTGCTGATGTGGTGACGCAATTTGCAATGAAATGAATGTTTTCAAAAGAGTCGAAGTATCTAGGAATAATCTTAGATAAAACACTAAACTGCAATTCGCATCTGGAAGCAGTCCTGAAGAAGGCAAGGATCTCGCTTTGGAACTGTCGTAGGGTCTGTGGATCTTTAGCTTGGTGGGGCAAGGCAGCACAAAGAACTGTCCAAGCCAAACTGAGCGCAATACAGAGAGAAGCTTGTTGATCACTGATTCCTTTCATACCACAACAACTGCTGAACCCTACTCAGTGACAATTTCGCACAGGAGTGAGTGGGAACAGCAAGTTAACCTGACAAGGGCAGATATCTGTGCATACACAGATGGCTCCAAGACCGAGGTAGGTGTTGGAGCTGGTATCTTCGTGCCGTAGCTAAAGATTAAAGAATTTGTTAACCTAGGAACTTGGGCATCGATCTTCCAGGTAGAGCTATATTAGAACTAGGTACCAGAATGATTGCAGAACGACAACTGAGACACAGAACAATAATTATTTTTTCAGATAGTCAAACCACACTTAAAGCACTTGACTCTACCTACTCGACATCGAAATTAGTGTGGCATTACAAAGAAGCTCTCGGTGGCATACGGGAGGGAAATGAAGTCCGTCTCATATGGATACCAGGACCCATGGGCCTAGAGGTAAACGAGACAGCTGACACTCTGGCAAAGAGTGGGCTAACACACCCTACATAGGGCCTGAGCCAGACATTGGGATCGCATACAATACGGTTAAACAAAGAATGCCTGCAGAGATGGGCAGCAAGATCCATAAATACTGGAAGGGATTAACAGGGTTAAACCATGCTAAGGCAAGTATACTAATCTTGACAAAGGAGGTAACAGATTGTTTACTACGTCTGAACAGGAATAGCCTCAAAACTCTAGTAGGACTGTACACTGGTCATGTATTTGTAGTAACGAAACGTATGAATATAGTCGATTGCTTATAAAATATATATCTGTCAAACTAACGAAAACATATACCACTTGTGTAAGAATCTATGATCCGAATCAACAATGACCAATAAGAAAGTGTTTTCTTAAGACTGCATCGGAAATTAATTCTAAAATTATCCCTCTCAGTTGAATAATATACTGTTTTTTTTCAATAAAGTGCTCAGTAATTATTGATGTCATATCAATATAGGCATTATATCAGATTTGACCCACGACTCTGGCAGGGATTAAAAGCTCCTCTCCGATTGGCCAATTTTCGATGCAGTTTTACGAAAACGCTTTCTAATTGGTCATTGCTGATCCGGAACATGGGTTTTGATCTCCGGATCAACTTAAAATATGGGGTTTTGAAGCCAAACCAGATGATAAAGAATTTCTTGTATTAGTATGGGGATTATAGGGCCTTCTTACACAAATAATAATAATAATCCGACTTTATTTATACAAAGTATAAAAAGGCGGAGAGTCGCTAAAAAGCATTTTTCAACTTAACCCAACAAATTTTGCGTACATTTTCTAATCCCAGTGTAAACAAAAAAGTTAAAAAACCTGTAACGAGTCCCTATTCATGGACAAATCGTATATTTTTTCGGTAGTTTGAGAAATTTTTTGGACAGAATCAACTATATTCTCTAGATCCATTACTGGAAAGATGCCGTGTCATTGATCCGTTCTGAACTGGATCAAGAATTTAAGAGGTTCACACCTCAGTACCCGGGTCCGCTCAATGATTTTTTGTCATTTTTAGTGGAATGCGTGAAATACTGTATGCCAAGCCGCAGATTAGCTTTGTGCGCTCTCAATTTTCCATTACTTAAATTATATTTAATTTCGTTTATTTATGTAAGTGGTTATTTAAGAACTAATCCCACTACGTGTAGACTCAGGTTCCGAGGTTTTCGCGTTGCTATGTGTAACTATACTGTACTGATAGTAACGAATTTAATGCAGCCACTGAATTGTTTCATAATTCTTCTGGACTGATGCTCGCATTCTGAATCAACAGAGAATTAGTGAAGTAGCAACGTGTATTCTGAATCCCGGTAGCGGAGCGTGAGGTAATAAATTGTGATAATATTACGTCGTCAAGATCACCTTCAGTTGATTGGTAGTGATTAATATACATAGCGTGATAATTATAAGGGTGGTGATAAAAATCCATAAAAACAGGAATCTATACTTGCTGTGTATAGTCTTAAAATAGAAAATATGCTCAAGATAGTCACACAGATCTCCTGCATGGCGTGAATGTGAAAACCACTTCGTGCAAACTCTGGCGAACGTCCTGAAAACTACTTATGACTGATTTTGTGGAGTATCAACAAATTTTTGCCGGTGATGACGTTGAACATTGCTATTTTAGTTGCTACTAGTGTAATTGGAGAAACTCGCTTTGTTCTTGATTTTTTTAAGTCAAATATTTGAAAATGAATGAATTTCGGAAACATATTAAAACTGCGAACCTATAAAGGATCATAAAGTAAAATCCAAAAATGCTGGAGTTTAAAATACATTTGCTCTGAAATATCGAAACACTCTATAGCTGCGAACTTGAATTTTGAGTTATTTTCTGGGCCAAAAAATCTCTTTATGGGCCTTGATCCTTCACGTTCAATTTATATGGATTTTGTATGCTTAAGATAGAGCAACGGATAAACGTACTTGTTACCTTATTCACATGAATGCTGCACCATATTGTACAGTTTTTGTACTGTAATTCACTGATCCACCGTATGGCCACAGAGTTTCACTAAGCTTATTATAGCATTTTGTATTTGACATTCACTTTGTATGCACTCCTTTATTTGTCCAATTTCCATTCTATCTCCATGCATATTCAGATATCCGGTTCAAAGGCAGACCACCCAGCATAACACACCCGGAAGGACATTGACTTCGGACCCATAACGTATGCAATATTCCAACCAGGGATTGCACCATAAGTATCATAGATGATTCAGAATAGTACTTATTCTCGGACAAAAATGGCTCTTGAATGCTAAATGCATAGTGTAGTCAAACTACAGATAACGTAAAGAAACAAAATAGTATTTTTTAATATACCTGACCCATACTTATTTTGAAATTCTAATATTTTTGAATTCGTAACGATAGCGTGTGAAGCAGTAATAGCGGTCGGGAGGCGAAGCCTTGAAACTAGGCCACCTTTGGTCTTTTTGACAACTCTGAGAGTACCAATACTCTATTCCACATGCATATCTATTGACCCTTCCTGATCTCCGAATGAAGACCAGGATGTCCGACCACTTCGCTGTTTAAGCAACTTCACTATCAAGCTCCATGATTGCGAAAGCATCATCCCTTGGGCTACAGTACCTGCATGTGATGGGTGTGGCTGAGGATCCCATGTGTGAGTGCTGCGGGGCAAAGGAAGATTATCGGCGCATGTTCTATAAGCCTCTATGCTATACAAGCAGACTATACTTGGGTCCATCACTTTGGATCCCCATAATGTTAAGGAGCTGGGGCACAGGGCTATATTCAACTTCGCTAGAAGGGCGGAAATTGAGGGTTAGTAAATGTAGTGGTGCATAAGGACCCGTGATGTGGCCTATGCGCCAGCTCCTCATGGTGGCCGGAAATCATCTAATTTCATTTATTATTCATTCATTTGGCTGCAATATACGGGGCAAGACTCCAGAAAATAAAACGTGTTCTCATCTCAGCACATGGTACAGAAGGCATCTCTTTCCACCCCATACTGGCTAGTGAGACCTCTTTCAAAAGATTGAGCATTTCTCTACTTTGGTTCAGTAGCTTGCACATCCGATGTTTGCTGGAGACGCCTATAAGCCTCTTGTTGGTATTCATTGCAATGTGTTTGCCATGATATCTGTTGGAGATGATCTGGCGGTTCGATAAGTTGCTGCTTACCCAGACTGCTCCCAGCTTCAATCAGCGTCGCAAAACTAGATGCATAGTTACACCAATATCCCCTACCAACCAATTGTCAATCCTGCAATACCAATAGACGCAGATATTAATTAGCTAAGCCACGGCCAACTGCGACTGAAATCCAGAAACCCGGTAGCTGGGACTAGTTTGGTCAATTTTTAACCAGTGAGCATTGGATGGACGTACGTAGCCCTGACGTCAGTAACTGGGAATGCATCGATGACCCCACAATCAAGCCCGAGGGCTTCTTGCTTTTTCGCCGAGAATGGTACACAATCTAAACCGGCCATGGAATTTGCAAAAACAGCTTTACTTATGACAAGTGCCACGACGCTGAACAATTCATCGTCCTAGGATGTAGAGATTGAATATTCACAGACAACCTGCAAGAAATTCAACTTGCCTCTGAGGCTGGAGAATGGCTTCGAGTCTGTGATCCCTGATTTGAAGCTTATTATGCACGTTCTAATCTTTCACTATCAATACTGGTTTTGTAGCAATGTATGAGCGTTCATATAATGAACCTCTCGGCACACTTTTCCCATGTCCCTGTAACTTACATATACATTCAGTGCTTAAACCCATACTAGGCTTGGGACGGATGCTGGAGCCTCTGGCCCTCAGCCCAGCTCTCTCATTACCTGCTACCCCGATACTTCAATGTGCCCAAGAACCCAAAGCAGCACCATTTCTTTGGATTGGGCTAACTTCTGAAGAGCAGTAGTGCATTCCTGAACTAATGGTGAAATTGTCTTCATTGCTACTACCTACAATTAGTGGCGGATCTGGCAGCTATCCTGAGGGTTCGGACGACCCCGAAATATTCAGTTTAAGAAAATTCCTAAAGCGTTCTTCAATTTACTCTTCAATTTTAAATTGCCGATAGGCCTTTCCCCCACCCCGATTTTCAATTACCGATCAACCCTCCCTCCTCCCTGAGACGGACATCTTTCTGAGCTTTGAATCCTGAGCTCTTCACCCTCAGCACTTCCAATGCTACTATTTGGCTGTCAGAGCTTACAACTATGATCCGCTCGGTGCACTGTTGAAGCTGCCTTAGGTATGTCGCCATTGAGATGGCAAACATATCTGGCGGGAAAACTACTGTGCAGGTTACAAGCTTTTCTGCATGCTCTTGCCTTCCAGGTTAACTTCGCCCATTGCGGTTTGTGAAGCACATGATATTATGAGGCGGGAATATTATCTTCCTATTAATCAATTCTTCCTTCGTAGGGATGATTCCAAATCCGCTCTAATGGTGTTCTTGTCGTCCTACGTGCCCTCATCTCGCATCCATGGTTATGTCGCAATGGCCTTCCACTTTATTCAGGTTTCTAATAACAGTAATGTCAGCATAACAGGGCCGCTGATGAAATGGTCGACATCGCATCAAATCTTTGGATCTCATATACAGGGTGTCCCGAAAAAAGTGTGCAATATTCTTCCAGCGGTTTCTAGAGCTTAAAATAGGAAGAAAAGTTTATATAATCATAGGTCGACAAACGTCCCCTAAGGGCGCTATGGTCTTTTAAAGGGGCTTCCCTGAAGATGGTTTTTCCTTAATATTTCCGAAACGTGTTGAGATAAAGACATAAAATTTGGTATCCTAGCCTAGTTTTTTATGCTGGATTTAAAAATATTAACAATTTTATACAGTTTTGTTTGGAAGCGTATGTAACAGGGACGGACTCAGGTTATTTTAGCCCCATTTTTGTGTGATTCTATTTTTGAAATTCAATTTCAGAATTTGAAAATTTAGGGTTTTCTACATAAAAAAAGGTACTCTTATTGGATATCGATAAATTGTGCCATTTTTTATTAAAATCAAACTAAAAAATTTGTCACATGATAGGAAATGTACTGCGAACTTAAATGAATTGTTGATTATACATAGTTAGCTATGACTGCAAACAAAAGTTGTTTGATTTGTTATGACTTATTTTGACGTTAAGCTGACATTTTTAGCAGTGTAAAATTACTAGATTAAAGTCAAAAATTTTATTAAATAGATTTAAAATGCCAAGATTTACAGACAGAGAACTGACTGACATGCATTTTGTGTACGGGTTTCGCAATGGCAGTTCATTGGCAGCCGTAAGAGAATATCAAAGAAGATTTCCCAATCGCATAGTACCTGGACGTCGAATCTTTACTGATATTCACCGGAATTTGTCAAACCATGGAAGTTTTCAGCGCATGCAGGGCTCAGAAAGGCCACTGGGAAATCATCGTATGGATATTGCTTTAAATATGTTTGAAAATAATCCGCAAATAAGCATAGGAAATGTTTCAGAAATTATGGATATACCTCGATCAATAGTAAGAAAAATTTATGAATACCTAGTTGATAGTTATCCTAAAAATAATAATTTTAGATAGGAAGAATGACAAGAATGCAAGGATTACATCCTTATCATTTTAAACGAGTGCAGCATTTAACGGAGGCTGATTTTTTACCACGAATCGAGTTTTGCCAGTGGATATTAGCAAATGAAGACACTATTCCTAGAATATTATGGTCATATGAGTCAATATTTACTAGGAATGGTGCTTTTAATTTCCGTAACATGCATCACTGGTCAGATGAAAATCTAAACGTAGATTTTCATTGAACTTACGGGCAGGGGTAATTATGGATCAAGTAATTGGGCCTATTGTACTTCCCAATCGTCTTAATTCAGAGGTGTATCTGAACTTTCTTCAGAATGAGCTCATGGATATAATACCATTGGGTGTGCGCCAGCAGTTTTTTCAACATGATGGCGCCCCTGCACATTTTGGACGCAATGTTCGAAATTGGTTGAATGTCAATTTTCCAGACAGGTGGTTAGGTCGAGGAGGTTCTATAGCATGGCCGCCACGTTCATCTGACCTAAATCCATTGGATTTCTATTTTTGGGGGTCAGTAAAAAACCTAGTTTACTCGACTGAAGTAAATACTCAAGAAGATTTACTTCAAAGAATCCATCAGGCTGCAAATGAAATAAGAAGAAAAAGGTTTTCCAAGTTTCGGGCTACGCAATCATTAGTTCGTCGAGCGAGACTCTATATACAACAAAATGGGAATTTATTTGAACACTTATTGTTAAGCTAGTTTTAAGTATATCCAACAGTATGTCTTCTTTTTTAAACAAATTTCAATTTCGTTCGTAGAAAAAAAATATTTCTTTTGTTTTTGCCTAAATGTTAGCTATGTTGCAATAGAAATATGTATTTATGTTATATTTACAAATTATTAAATTTGTTTTTTCGTTGCCATGGATAATTATTCAAGAATTCATTTAAATTCGCAGTACATTTCCTATCCTAATCCTTTAGTTTGATTTTATTAAAAAATGACACAATTTATCGATATTCAATAAGAGTACCTTTTTTATGTAGAAAGCCCTAAATCTTCAAATTCTAAAATTGAATTTCAAAAATGGAATCACACAAAAATTTTGGGGCTAAAATAACCTGAGTTCGTCCCTGTTACATACGTTTCCAAACAAAACTGTCTAAAATTGTTAATATTTCTAAATCCAGCATAAAAAACTAGGGTAGGATACCAAATTTTATGTCTTTATCTCAACACGTTTCGGAAATATTAAGGAAAAACCATCTTCAGGGGAGCCCCTTTAAAAGACCGTAGCGCCCTTAGGGGACGTTTGTCGACCTATGTTTATATAAACTTTTCTTCCTATTTTAAGTTCTAGAAACCACTGGTAGAATATTGCACACTTTTCTCGTATATTATATATGTTTACATTGCATAATCTGTCACCACATTTCCATAGTTGTAATGCATACTATTGACTCATTGGAATACCATTGCCTACCAAAGTGACAACGTTGTATCAACATAATAATAATACTTACCGGTAAAAAGATCTGAATTCATTGAGGCATCTTGACCACGCATCCATATACTGTAGCCCAGGTCTCATCCTCAGTGAGTAGAGCCTATCCGTGACTTTCGGTCTTAGTCCCCAAGTTCCGCCGACTACTTAACGCAAGTGCTACATAGTCGCTATCAATTTCTTGTAGACATAGTCGATATGCTGCTTCTATGACAATTCACTATCCATCACCGTTGAACAATGAAATCTCCTATCTTCCGTCTTGTGGTGAAGAGGTCTAACTCAGTCTTAAATGAGTTGTGTGAAATGTAGAGTCGTGTACTTGATGTCATTTTTTCCATCGTTCGGCTTATAAATTGACTGTATCAAAAAATGTATCTCTTATTTCCCATACCATACTTGGTTATACATATATTCTAATGAGTCCAATATGCTCTTGTTGCAAGCTCATATCTCAACAAGAAAAGAAAGATGAAGACAAACCATTCGGTTTTATCACTTCTCTTTCCTTTGGCTCCATCTAATAAGTTACTTAGACATTGTTAAATATGCTAATAGCCACTATCAATTTATAGCAGCTCTCAAGAATGGCAAGCATTTACTACTGGTCGTACACTTAATTGCGGCTACATATCTGGATTTTCAGCTACATCTGTAGCCTCATTTACCGTCGTTTCCTTCGATTTGTTACTTAATTATATAATCCAGTCAGTCAAGGAAAAGCAGGATGGAAACTTGGCATGGAGGTTCTTAAATATTTGTGCGAAGAAGTCGATCAAAAACATACAAAAATAAATTATCTTGTTCCATTTCTTACGATAATAAACGAGGGAAATATTGCTATCGCGAGAACGTCGAAATCAAGGTATTTTTTGGGCGTTCTACGGGTGTCCAATATATTGAGGTATTTGGGAGAAACTAAAATTTGGCCAAATCGTTTTTATTTTTTCTGACTTTTTTACCATTTTACCATTGTTTTCTAAATGTAAATATGGTCTTCTAACAGTAGAATTTCAAAACATTACGTAAAATATCTGGTGTAATCATACTAAATGCTTCCATTGCACGTTCTCGTAACTGCTGCTCAGTTTCATAAGTATGCTGATAAACTTGTTTTTTCATAAAACCCCAAACAAAAAAGTCCAAAGGAGTTAACTCTGGGGAACGCGCTTCACTGAAGGTTGCACTCCACCAACATCTGCCAAGGTAAATTATCCATGCATTCTTCTAGATCATGTTGCAACAATTGAAGGTACCATTCTGCAGTTAAAGAGCTGTGGTAAGTAAAAGGTCCCTAGAATCTTACACCACATATTAAACCCAAAACGTTCTTGATGTCTGGATACTTTTTTAGCCCTCAGATTTTCTTGAGCTCAGTGTTGCGGTGATTGAATATACCATTATTAGTGACTATCCTCTCGTCGGACTGTATTATTTTTGAAGGAAGATTGAAATCTTCTTCACTTGTTCGTGTGGACTACTCACATAAATGCTGTGCTTGGCAAATCCTGAATTTATAAAGGTGATATCTATTTTTACACAAAATAAGTTGGGCAGTGGATTTGATTGCTCCTACATTTTTCTCAATTTGCCTCGTTGACATCTCAGAGTTCTCAGCAACTGATTGTAAAATATTAAAGATTCCTTTTTTCCAGACGTAACAGCTTTTTCAATGAACCATATTCATTTAAATTTCGGGTCAACTCTAAGCAAATGGACTTATTTGGCTATTGACGGAAATCAAAAACTAAATTCGCTTTTCACAAGTGATGTATGTAATATTGTCTTAAATGTATCGGAGAAAGAAGTCAGTCTTGTCTTGTATATTGACGGTATTTAAGTGTTGAACGTTGGAGGTTGGGCGTTTTTGATCATGTTTACATCGAAAAACATCAAATATAAAGAAGAAACCATCAAAATCCCCCAAAAAATATTTTTTTGATTTTACCTTCTTTTAAATAACTCCTCTTCTATAAGTTTTTTCACTATAAATGTCCGCAATTACTGGACTATGAAGATTATTGCTCTTCCTTGGGAATAACGTGGCCTTCTGTTCAGTTTCAGACTGTTATTATTCTTACGATTTTGATTGAATTAGATACGATTCCTCGTTCGTAATAATAATATTTTAATTCTATAGAAATTAATTTCTATGTTGCTATCAATCCGTTAATGTGCAGATAATTTGTCTTAATATAGAATAATGATTCATATTGAACATCGTATCTTTACTGCCTCACTAGCTGTTACCCGCGGCTTTGTACCCAACACTGTTAAAGTAACCAACATCTTCAAATTAATACGTTACAATAATCCAAATCTTACATTGTAAATGTTACCTTTCTGCAAATTTTCGTGCCTCTAGTCATAAAAGATAGACTTGTATTGAATTGTGATAGGCCCTATTACAAAAATCTATCTTTAGTTAAGGTTGACTCTTAAGAACCTCATTGGTGAATTCCTATCAACCTAACTTCAAAAGTGATAAGAAATCTTCTGCCCGATCCTAAAATATTGTTTCTGGTATTCCCTATTCAATGTTCATTATTTTAAAGATCAACTTTTGGTCAAAACACTCCAACTTCAAGAGTGGTTTAATTTAAAACTTTTGAGATTCAGCTTCAAAGTGTTAACCGATGCTTCATCCGCTGAGGGTAGAATTTCCAAGATTCGTTTGTAAGTGCTCATTTACATAGTATCATAAAAAAACTAGATTTGTATCCCTAGCTTAGACTCACTTTAGATCCCCCATCACCACAAATGATAGTTTGAAAAAACTATAAAAAACACGCTTGTATAGCTAACCGAATTAAAAAGTGGAAAATAATTTTTAATTATAAATAGTTTATCACTCATAATTAATGACCTCAAAATAAAATTATAATAACATTTAAGTTATTAACAGAATAATTCAATTCAGGATAAGAAGCGTGGGGTGCATTTTATTACATTTTCATAATTCTCCTCTCATAGATAGTTGCCACGCTTTTTACTCTGAATTGGATTATTCTGTTAACTTAAATTTGGTTTTGAGGTCATTAATTATGATTGTTCGACCGTCTACTACTGTAATGTAAACTGTTTGTAACTAAAAATTGTTTTCTACTTTTTAGTTCGGTTAAGCTATAAAAGCGCGTTTTTTTAGTTTTCCAAGCTATTATTTATTTTCATTTTTTAGTTCGATTTATCAATAAGTTTTTTTTATTAAGACTCGTTATTGTACTTACTATCAATAAGACTTTATAATTACAAATTCTTTAATCGTATTAAATTCATTCTTTATCGACTGTGAATTCATAACTTTGCTGATTATCAAATTTTGTTCCGTGAATTAAATAGATTGAAATTTATATTCTGATCACTCTGTTGTGAATAAGACGCCTTTGTGAATCACGGGTATCATATAATATCGTCGCCTCAATGCAGAACTATTGTAAGTCGCAAAAAGCAAATTTTACAGGAGAAGGTATTTTTTGTTTTTTTCTTAAACTAAATTATATTTGTCAATGAAAGTCATGAATCTATATTAAAATTAAAGTACGAGATTAATGCTAATAACTTTTAGACTCTATGTTTATGAATAATCAAATTTATGGACTTACAATATTACATAACAAGGTAGGTATTGTAAGTCCCTATTTGTGGACTTAACAATAGATAATGAAATGTGACTTACAATAGTTCTAAAATAAAAGCAAAATCTTTGGTAAACAAAACTTATATTTCTTTTATGTTTTATAACATATCATTTTATTTTTATATAAAAATAAATAAAATATATAGGTATTTTAAGGATTCTATAACAACTCAAAATTTCCAAACAAAAACTAAGAAATTATGTTAAATTAAATAAAAGAACACACTGTTCAAAACTTACAACCTAATAGGAATCAGGATTTATAGGAGAAACCTTATAGGGACCTAAATTATACATTTTAGAATTAAACCTAAAAAAATAACATAACATGGAAATTTAACTAAGTATTTTCAAATAGGTTATTCACTGTCCTCATCGTTTTTATTAGATTGAGTTGTAAACGGTAAAGCTTTAAAAAATCATGATACGGAGTAGTTATGACTCCTTTTTCACAGAGATAGATTAAATGGTCATACTTTTTCTTTTGAAGAGGATTTTTTTTATCATAGAGACATTTGAGGTGTACATCACAAACCTAAATGTTAACTTTCTTCCTTCCCTTTTCTAACAAATTTATTTTCTTAAAAGCACCGTCATACTGTGTTTTAAAAAATAAAACATTTGAGACGTTTGGATCAAACATGACTATTTTAAACTTATTTGTGTAAACTTTATCGTTATCCTCGTCTCTATCAAAATTAATAGCTGTTTTTATTTGAAGATCTTTTAAGTCATATACCTCATCTTGAGATAACTCATGGACGCAATATAATGGTGATTTTTTCTTAGCCGTTCTTACTAGTGTATACCATTGATCTGGAGAAAATATTGGAATGTTTCTGGAGGCCCTTTCAATGACGCTGTGTACACTATCGCCTTCAGATTGGGTATGTCCAGGTTCAAGAAATGTATGGCGAATTGTTATAGAGTATTTCTGCGATAAATAGTTATATAAAGCAAAAATAAATTTGTTTCGGTTTTGCCCGGCGCAATTGTCCGAATAAAAGGAAAACTCTCTAGCTCCTTTTTTTACTTGACTTTCAACAAAGAGCAACAAACAGCTACCTATTTCAGATGAGCCCCTTTTACCAATTGACTCATACCACATATAACATTGACATTCTTTAGTGGCTAGGTTAAAGATTGTAAAATTATAGGTAGATAATTTAAGCTTATAATAGGCCAAACCTACATTTGATTGGGGTACTGGCAGAACTTGTTGAAGGTCATAAACAGCCACACACAAAGATTTTTTTTGAGAACCCATATCTTTGTCTTTTTCTTTTAACTCTCGAGCTATTTTTTTATTTTTGTCGTGCAACAAATACTGCTCTTCCATTTTTGCTTTTTCCTCCACCGATGAGTTGTCATATGTGTGACAAGTATCGCACAAATCTTTTTTGGGTTGGAAAAATTAAAGGTTAAATTCCCTGTTAAATATTTCCCGGTAAATACTTTCAGAAGCTGGTTTAGCAATGTGATTTTCTGTACAAAACTCTTGATAAAAAGCGTACATTTAGAAATATTTAAGGAAGATGGTACATATTTTCGCTCAGTAGACATTCGGCAGTAATGGCTTTCGATCGTTTCGAAGGAATTTATATGAGATCTTACCGAATCTTTAATTGTCTCATCTAGCTGAGAGTTTTTACAGGCTTTGCCTCTTCTATCTTCGGTTACAACACCAGTACTTCCATCTTCTGAAATACGGTCTCTACCATGTCCACTTATACTCAACGTATTTAGAAAAAATGTTTTACATACTGGAACTGTTTTTCCGTTGTATGTGAGCATGTATCTATAAGTAACTAGCCTTCTGCTAGCTAAGTTGTCATGTTCTGATTTTTTTGATCTCGGACGAGAACGTTGTGTATTTTGAACACTAACCTCCTTGGCAATATAATCATGCTGTCTATTAATGTCCTGTAAATCCCAAAAGCTTTAAATATTGCAGAGCGTTCTTCTTCTGAGAAGTTCTCATTGCATCTCTTTCTACAATTTTGACAAGCCGGCTTGATACTCCTTTTATTCTGAAAATTTCCATTCCAGTTTTTGTATTCAGCTCCACTATTCCTGGCAGATTTAATAATATTTCTTTTCCAACCACTCTTCTGCCTTTTCCTTTTCCTTGTTTTGCTTTTACCCCCAACAGCAGCCTGATTTTCTTGCACATCCTCGTTTTCATCCGAGGGAACGAAATCGAGATCTTCGCTACTGGAATTCGCAAACGGATCTTCTAACTCTGATCTTAAAGATAGTTGATCACTTAGCTCATGATCTTCGACATTAACTTGTTCTTTAATATCGTGTTTTTGTTGTGCAAATAGCTCAGAGCCATTGCTTTGGAGGGAGTTAAAGAGGGAGCCAAAATTTGTATCAGCAATTAGCGTCGTTGTTTCACATGGAATTAAAGATGAAGGAGGTTGCATATTAGCGGAGTCCATCATAAGTTTTGAGAAACATTTCTCTTTGGAAACATGAGGATCTGGAAGTAATAAATAAAGAGTTTCTTTTATTTTTTCTAGATTTGTCAGAGTCCAAGTTTTATTACCAACGTTAGGGTTACTAGAGTCCGCCAAGTTAAGGATTGGTACAGCCACGTGTTTCAAGCTTGCCGAAGTTTTTACCCTATTAAAGCCGCGGTAGGTAATAGTGGCGTGCCAATTTTTTCATATACAGTAAAAATATATCATAAATCAATAAACGAAAAACTTCTGTCACTCCAACCAATCACGCCTTTACAAGGGTAACAACTTCGACAAGCTTGAAACACGTGGCTGTACCAAAACTTAACTTGGCGGACTCTAAAACTTTAAAAAAATTAACAAAAAACTTTTTTGTTGGTTTAAATATAATATACTACTACCTAATTATAATTAAGGATAATTAAAAAAAGACAAAAAAAAATTAATTTAATTTTATATTAAGCCTTTTTTAAATATACCTAAATGTAAAGCAATGTTTAAAAAAAACATAATTTTTAGAGCCTTACCTGGGGTATTAGTGAATTTTAAATGTGATGCTTCTGGTAAAGACTGTGAAAAGTTGACTTTAGCATCACATATTTCGGGTTCTCCTGATTTGGTATTATTTTTTGCAGGAACCTGACTACTGTTCAAGAAAGACAGAGGTTTAAGTGGTTCTAAAAAAACAAGCTTTTTAATAATTATAAAAACTACATTATATTCTACTATTAGATATTAATCTAATAGTAGAATTAGTAAATAATAATATAATAGTAAATTAATAAATAATAAAATAATAGTATAATAGTAGAACTCTTTAATTAAAATTTAATAACTGGGATATTAACTTACCTCTTTTATCACTGGATGTTTTTTCAACAAATCAAAAATTTTATCTCTTCTGGTAGTCATTATTAATAATATTCTTTTAATTTTCACTGTAATTTTAAATAATTCTAAGTCCGTCAACCCAATATTGTATGTCCAGGCAAACAGGTTAGAACTATTCTAAGTCCACATTTCCTCTCAACATGCAATACCCTCTCTACTTATCGTAGTTCTGCACCGGACTGACGCGCCTTGGGCTATTACACCAAATATATCAAAATCGAGCGGAGGGGGGAAATGCTGCGCGTGGACTTACAATACTTCTGCATCCAATAAATATGGCTTCAAGCTATTATGTAATGTAATAAACGGATTTTCTCAAAATTTGGACTTACAATAGTTCTGCATTGAGGCGACGATATATTATAAACAGTAATTCGTGTGTATTAGACTCATTAGTACCTAGGTATGTATAAGGAATGAACAAGGTGAGAATGCACTACCTTGAAAAAGTACCTGCCTCAGGTGCGCTGTGCCGAGTGTCCGAACCAACAAAAAATAAGTCCGGAACTGCACGCATGCGCAGATCGCGCGCTAGCTCTATCTCTACTCCCATGCAGAAGATCTATAAAAGAATTTATCAATCCTGGCGGTCCGAATAAGGATAATAGAACACTGTTATCAAATTATAGCATTGTCATCGGTCCTTGATACGTGTGCGAAGTTCCAAATTAATCAAACTACTGGAAATTGGCGAATATGCTCAAAGATACCTACGTACATATAGGCCAAGGTTATAAAAGCGTGTTAAAAACATAGCGGATTTTCTGAGCACATTTTTCGGAAATTTTAACACCTAACTTCTCGAAACCAAACAGGTTCAGTCTATATTCTGTAGTGTAATCCAGCTCGCTCTGGAAAGGAGGAAACATTAAATATAATCGATGATTACAGTTTTCTAGCCTGGTAGTAATTGGCTTTTCGTTCTCAAATTAATTTTATTACATCTGACACTCGGTATATATGGGAAAAGAATGTATGATAGATATGAGTACGGATGACCGTTTGTACAACATTATTTCTCACTATAATTACTGGTTGTTAGTAGCCTCATCGATATGTGTTTCTCAACAGTTGTATCATTATACAATTCTTGATCGCTCTCCAGACCCTTAAGAAATAACGTTTCACTTTAATTATCATTTTAATTTACCAAATCAGGATAATTTACATCTTACTGTTGTTAAGTATGGTTTGAGTGCTTGATAATAAGAAGACGTAGAGATAAAGAACACGAATGACAGTTGAGTTTGATTTTCAGGCATGGACACGCCAGTCGCATGTGGTAGTCACCACAGTAGCAACCTTGTGTGAAAAAATAAAATCCGAGCAGTACGACTCAAGTTATATACGGTCCAAGGATTAGCGGACAGACAAACCGACAGACAGATCCACAGACAGACCCATAGGCAGACCGACAGACAGACGCACTGACGATAATTAGTGACATGATTTTTCGTGATGTGCCGTAACAAACTTAAAATTTTTCGCGATCACAAAACTTGCTTCCTCCAGTGGCGTATGCCCATAGATTTTCAGAAACACTTTTTAAAGAAAGTTTTCTGAACAACTTCCTGCATTATATTTAGTAGATACAGCGCAGAAAATTTCAACATTCTGTTAGCGGGGATTGACGTTTTTGTAGTTTATTTTTATTATATTTTCTTTGATCTCTATCAACCGATGTTTTGGATAGATGAGGGAACATGCATATTTTTCAATTTCTAGACGTCAAAACTTAAGATCTAGTATTAGTTTGCTACTAGTTTAAATATTTGCCTTGCGTGCTATCTAAAAGGACCTCGGCAATGACGTTGCTGGAGGGTCATTTACCCTTACTGCAGGATAATAAAGCACTTTTAGCATTGAATTAGCTTTCAGTTTATCGTTATTACGGTGTACGCCTGACGAGTTTGGAAGTTCAGAATTAATAATTATGGAACTTGACTACTAAATGAAGTTGCTGAAAACAAAAATAATTTTTACGTTACCTACTGCTTTGAGAATGAATCGTCTGGTACTAAACGTATAATCAGCGATAGAAACAAGTAGTAAGTGTTTCTGTTACTAGGGCAATTGGGACATCTCAACTTATGTCATTTGGAGAGGTTTACTTTACGGCTCTTAAAATTGCAAAGATTCCCCAAACGAAGCCTTACAAATGGGTAATGGAATTTTTTCTGGTCCTATGGTATTTAATGGTCGTTCGTGGTGGGAGAATGAGGAGATCCTTATCTTATATGGCTTCATTGTGATTTTTTTCTGTTTGATGTCTGGTTGCACAGCCTTGCTAAGGTTCACTTTATGCTAAGTTCAACCCCAACTTCAATATTTTTGTTGTTCAGGTCCACTTAAGACTTGAGTGGCACTTAATTGGACGAATGAATTGGAAAAAATCTTCTGTTTAACGTGGATTTTTTATCCTAAAGTCTTTGGCTTTGTCAACTGGAAAGGTTTGAATGTTTGAAAGATGGATATAGATATCGCAGAATTTGTTGAAGTTGACCAAGCAAATCTACTACGTATGGGATTCATCGCCAAATCCGTAATGTAATGGAATATTTTAAGTTGTGATAACAGAACACTTTCCCAAAGGCTCCGCATTACCCGACAAACGTCTCTGTACCTATTTACGACAATGACGACACCATGCAATTTTCTCATAATTGATAAGGATATATCATGTATGTACCTATATATCATCAAGTTCGTCAACTACCACAAGGATTGATTTTTGAAACACAATGCAAAAACTGTGTCTAATAGGTGCGAACATTTACAAAGACTGGGGGTGTATAAAAAGTTTCAGCAGTTTTCATTCTTCTCCGTTTTTGGTCTTTTTCTCTGCCACCACTGGACCAATTTATAGGTACTATGAAGCTTTTGCGTCCTTGGCATAGTAGTAACACTGTATAAAAATCCGAGCGGTACCTCTTAAATTATAGTATTGTCAGACAGACAGACCGATGGAGATAAGTGACATGGTTTTTATGATGTACATGTCATATAATATCCAAAAAACATAATATCTCATTTTATAAAATTTTAGTGATTACACATCTTCCCCGCCAGTAGGCGTGGGGAGTAAAATTATTATAGATGCACTATTAAGAGATGTAGGGTGTATTTCACCAGGATTGTCAAATCAGCAGTCAGTCAAATACAGCGAATGAGCTTCAAGTTCTTCAAAATACTGTCAAAGTATGACATGACAGCTTGTTATTGAAGCATCACTAGCTTATTGAATATTAAGAAATTACGTATAGTTTTGGCAAAATTTAAAAAGTGTTCGATTTTTGAATAAAATTCATGTTTTTATTTAATATTGTCGATTGTTTATTCATGTTTATATTATTTTCTTCAATCGATATGCGATTTTACTGATTCAACATCACCTACCGCGTGTTCTTTTCCTATAAACCTCTTGCAGATAGCCATTAAGCACCTACTTGATGACAGGCTCTACCAAAAATTTCATAGATATTGCTCGTTTCCAAACATTCATTTATTTACTTGCCTTCATTACCATTATAGCACCGTCGATTGATATTCCCACAAAACCATTCAGCATTTTTGATATCCATACAACCATAGTCAAATATTTTTTGGTTGTTCAGGAACTGAAACATGCACACTATATTTACAGCGATTAAGAGATACTCAAATATATGTCGTAAAGATACCAGCAAACTTAAAACCTGCAAAAAATTGAATTTGTAATAACTTTCTTCTTTTACTGAGTACACATTCTAGGTTATATTTATATTAGACATTATTTGAATAACAGCTGATTATTACATTTCAAAACTCCCCAACGAGAGACACATTTGTGAGATCCTTCAACCCTTGATTCCAGTGGAGTAAGCTCCGCCAACTGTTGAAATATACTCTACTATGCTTTATAAGACTATACGTGGAATTTTTCCCAAAATTGTTGCACAACACTTGAAAAAATGCATATGAAAATTTAAAATTATTTCCATGGCACCGCAAAGTAGCTCCGTCCGTACCTCGGGTTATACATCTTGACAGTAGGGATGTTCGATACGATTCTATATTTAGAAGTATCGATATTTTTCACTAGTATCGCCATCTTTCGATCCGGACTGTGTCAGAAAGAGTGACTAACTTCAGATTAATTTTCTTCTCTGTTTCCTTCCGCTGGATATCCATAATTATATTCCAATATTTTAGAGTATCGATACTTCCTAAAACGTTAAGAATCGATACATAACGATACTTTTCGTGTATCTAAACATCTCTAATCTTGACAGCTTGTCGTTCTTGTCAGCTGGGCTGCAGGGTGCGGTGTTGTCTTTACTATCTTACATTTCGCCAAAGTCTTATGACAAGCTTCAAATGAAATATTGACGAATATGAACGGATATGTATAGAATTCAGAATATAAATTCATATTGCAAATTTCAGATTGTCTTTGGATGGACTTGAACCGGATTTTTCGGTATGTTTGCCGAAAAGGGAATGTTTACCGATTACATCATTCTCCACGATTTTTCAAAATAATTTAAATATTTCTATACTTGCCGAAAAAGAGCTGAAACTAAAAATAAAGCTAAAAGTTAATTTTATGTATTCTTCATAGTTTTATGCCCCATATCAATCGTACATATGCATACACACTCAGGCCGTCGACCACATGAGAGGCATAGATTTGGGTTGCCTATGATTACGATCACATATCCTCATCCCTTACTCCGCTTGCCATGAATTGATTTTTGTGCATACAAAAGGTACTGACTGATAGATTACCGTCATTACCTCATCACCG